GAAAATTTCGGTCAGAAATAATTTTGACACTTTTTCTATGCATTGGGATTTTGCCGTAGCAGCTAATTTAATTATTCGTGAAGAAAGAGTACATCAAATAAATTGTTTAATTATTTTTTGTAGTTAATATCAAGAAAAGTTAGCAGAACAGTCGAAAATTTCGGTCAGAAATAATTTTGACACTTTTTCTATGCATTGGGAATTTGCCGTAGCAGCTAATTTAATTATTCGTGAAGAAAAAGTACATCAAATAAATTGTTTAATGATTTTATTTTATTAATATGAAAAAAAGTTAGCAGAACAGTCGAAAATTTCGGTCAGAAATAATTTTGACACTTTTTCTATGCATTGGGAATTTGCCGTAGCAGCTAATTTAATTATTCGTGAAGAAAAAGTACATCAAATAAATTGTTTAATTATTGTTTGTAGTTAATCTCAAGATAAGTTAGCAGAACAGTCGAAAATTTCGGTCAGAAATAATTTTGACACTTTTTCTATGCATTGGGAATTTGCCGTAGCAGCTAATTTAATTATTCGTGAAGAAAAAGTACATCAAATAAATTGTTTAATTATTTTTTGTAGTTAATATCAAGAAAATTTAGCAGAACAGTCGAAAATTTCGGTCAGAAATAATTTTGACACTTTTTCTATGCATTGGGATTTTGCCGTAGCAGCTAATTTAATTATTCGTGAAGAAAGAGTACATCAAATAAATTGTTTAATAATTTTATTTTATTAATATGAAAAAAAGTTAGCAGAACAGTCGAAAATTTCGGTCAGAAATAATTTTGACACTTTTTCTATGCATTGGGAATTTGCCGTAGAAGCTAATTTAATTATTCGTGAAGAAAGAGTACATCAAATAAAATATTTGACGTTTGTAAGAATTATAAACCTAAACATTAACAGTAGATTCTAAAATCTTTGTCAGAAATAAGATTCGATAAGTATGTTTTTATGTGGAATTTGGTCGTAGTGTGATAGTGGAGTATATAGATTTATTGTTAAATAAACGAAGCTGAAGTAGGCAACGTTTATGTAAACGATTTTTAAAGAAATAAGTTTTTAAATTTAAAAATTCTATAATTTTTTGCCTAAAAAATATTTCTTGTAGTTTTCATTAAGGGAATGTGGGCAAAGGAAGTTTTTTTGTGGTTTGAAACTTTCTCTGAAATAAAAAATAATTTCGGGTTAAAATTTTTTAAAAATGATTTCGTTCGGTACAAGGAATCTCGCAGTTCTACTCATTTTATATAACTGAAAATGTTAGACAAAAATCTTTTTTCATTTTAGAGTGATACGTATACTACCAAAACACATGTTCCCATACTAGGTCACGTGAGATGTTCCCACATACCCTTAATCAAGAAATTATAAAAAAATATTTTTTTTAAGCAAAAAATTATAGAATTTTGCATTTTAAAAAATTATTTCTTAAAAAATCGTTTATGTAAACATTGCGTACTTCAGCTTCATTTAAATAAGTCGTTTTTGACTTACTAATTATATTAAAATGATTGTGAGGATGAAAGAATATAAATTGTAGAAAATTCTGATAGAATATTGTGAAGTTTAGTGTCATTTTTAAATATTTTGAGAAACTAATTGTGGGATTTGATTACGGCAAATTTACGGCAAAATTATGTGTGTTCAGATTTTTTTTATCCTTTCATTTACAGTGGTTGCACTGCTAACTTGATATCAAGTTAGCAGTGCACCCTGTTTTTTTTAAAAAATCAAAAACGGCAAAATTGGGAATTTCACGAATAATTAGCGGCAAATTAGCGGCAAATTCTCCAATATTGCATTTTTGATTTTACGAAAGTTGTTTGTCTAACTTGATGTACGTCAGTTTATCATTTTTCTTTTTTTTTAAATTTAAAAAAGTACTCAATCAATGTCTCTTGCTAGATTACACTTAGCACGTAGTTTTTCGGTTCGAGTATATCATCTGTCTTAACAAACAATAACGCATGAACGGTATATAACTTCTTTTATTCGTGCCGTTTGGTGTCTGTCTTGCAAAGAGAAATTTATTTTCCCTGAACTAAAATAAAAATAAAAAACCTTCAAACAGGAGGAACATTTTTCATTGAACGGGACAGAAAAAGAATTGTATGTATATGTTAAATATATATATCCTTGATTGTATGAAAAATGTATAATTTGTTGAAAACTATATATGGATTTGTAAAAAATCATTATATTTACCAAATTAAAATTTTTTCTAATTTTTTTTTTAATACAAAATGCTAAACATTTTTTCAGTAGAAAAACAATTATTATTTCTGAAAAAATATATCACTAACCTTATAGTCTCCAAATTGAAACTACACGTGATTTTAAAAACTCCGAACACTCCCGAAATTTAAATTATGAAAAAAATACTTTCTTCTAAAAATTTCGAACACTCCCGGAACAAAACAGGAACAGGTCAATACAGGAATTGCAATGATATTATCTTAGAAATCTTTATGTAAATATGTAAATAAAATAAAAAATAAAATCTTCATTTTGGAATAAAGATAATGTAATTCAAAAAACTTTTCGGTACAATTTTAAATATTTCCGAAATAAAAAAAATTAAATAAAAACTAAATAAATAAACTATAAATAAATAAACTAATTAAAAAAATACATAACAAAAATAAATAAGTAAAATATGTAGATACAAAAATATATTATCTGATACACATTAAACAAACGTCCCACACAGCACATTTTATTTCCTAAAATTTCATGAATATTTCATTAAAAGATTTGAAATATTTCAATGCAAGGTTTATGAAATGTTGATGAAAACAGGAAAATGTCCGCCTATCACAGAGAAAACCTAGTCTCATTTTTGCTGCAGTTCAAAATGAGTCAATGCTAAACGACATAGACAGTGGCGCCACCAACCTGACTCATTTTTGCTGCACATCAAAATGAGTAGCGTATGCTATTCATTATGAGTTCAGGTTTTTTCTGTGATAGGAAATATTGCCGTGCAATTTTGCTGAAATATTACACTTTAAGACTCCTGCAATATTACACATGAAGACTCTGCAATATTCAGGAAATATTTCAAAGAAAGTTAGAAACTTTTTTAAAATATGAAATCAATCGTTATTTTCTAACATGTTCAACACCTTAGGATCCTAGAAAATCAAAAACTACTGCGCAGTTGTACAGGACATAGAAACTGAGATAAACCAGTGCGCATCATTTAAGTTGGAATTTTTCTATAATATTTTAATGAAATATTTCAGCAAAATTACACGGCAATATTTCTTATAGGCGGACATTTCTCTAATTTCAGCAATATTTCAAGGACTTCGCTTTGAAATATTTCAAAATTTCAATGAAATATTTCAGAAATATTTAGAAAATATAATGTGTTGTGTGGGGTGTCTAATGTTTTATTTTTATTATTTTATTTTATTCAAAATTTTTATTTTTTCCCTTGCTCTAAGTTTATATGAAAGTACAAAGGATTCTAAAATTTTTAAATCACGATCACTTACATCTTTAGAAAAAATATTTTGCTTCTCAATTTAAACATGATTTCGGGAGTGTTCGAAATTTTTTTTAAATCACATGTTTTTCTGTCAGATTTTATTCGTTATAAAAGTTTAATTTATATTCTTTCTAAATCAGAACTTATGAGATTTTATTAATTAAATTAAGAAAGAATATATAAGAACTAAAATGTTCTAATAACCTTATTTTACAAATATATAAATAAAAGCAATATATATATATGTCGTAGATAATTTCAATATTTCAGTATCTATTAAGATTGAATTTCAAGTTGAAATATTAGATTAGAAGTTAGTTCCCCAAAGGGGTTAAAAGTGATATTCCCTTTGCACATCAAAGATGCATGTTACAAAAGCTCTCCATTTAGTTCCTAAGTTGTCTCAAATTCCCATATAATACTCTAACGTATATAATTTATAATTACAGAAAAATATTTTTTTAAACTCATTACTGATTTATAAATCCATATTCAGCGAAATTCAATTAAAAATGTTTTTCTCGTTAACCAATTATTAAAACAGATTCAGAAAAAAATTATTCTGAATTTAAAATTAATATTATTTTATTTTAATAATTAATATTGAATAATAATTAATAATTATTTTAAAACGTTACTAATATATGAAGCTAATTTCAAAATTCATGTTGAACTCATCACTAAAATTGACGTCAGATACGAATAAATTTTTTATTGAAATGTTATGTAAACGTCACATAATATTTTCCACACTTTCATAAATTTGTAACAGAGGTTTGAATTAATCAAATAAAAAAAAAGTAGGTCATAATAATGCTTATTAGAATTTAAGAAAGAAAAAAAAAACAAAAACATTACATGTTTTCAATTACACATCAATTAAGGTAAATGAAATATTTTTTTTTATATTATTATTTTGATAAAAACTATTTTTTTCTTAATGAGATTAAAAACTGTTGTTCCATTTTAATACAGGTAAAATGAAATTAAAATTTTTTCTCCACTTAAATTAATTTAAATTAATATCAATTGAATTTTTTAAAAAAATTAATTAGTAAGAAAAAATAGTAAAAGTCAGTTTCAGTCAAACTATTATGCTGTAAATTTCGTAATAGTAGTAAATGACAGTTTCAAACAAACTTAATTCTCGTCTTTTAAGTATCAGTAGTAAAACGCAGTTCAAGTCAGACGAAACGTTTGAAATTCTATTGTAATTTTAGAATCGGTACAGTAAAAAATAATTTTCAGTGGCGTTTTAAATTGTAATTTTGGTATCAGATAGTAAAATTAATTTTTTATCAGTCAAAACTAAATTTTAGAACTTTGTAATAAGTAAACAATAGAGAAAATAAAGTCTAAAATTTTTATTTGCCAGAAAAAAAACTAAATTTTAGAATCAGTAGTAAAAAAAACAATTTCAAGATGTTATATTCTCGTAATTTAAGGTTTTAAACTAATGTAATTTTTCTTATAATATCTATATAATTATCTAATATATTGCTTTAATTTTTGAGATCTTTTATTTTTCAGGTAAACATACAAAAGGTGTACGCAATGCAAAGTGTATGCGATCCGATAACTTTAATATGTATAAATAATTAATCGTCATTAATACAGCGAATAATTTCGATTTGTTTGTTTGTTTTTTTTGTCTAACTTTCACAATCACTGTACGAAAACAGTCAAAAATTTCACTCCGGATCTTTCGGCTAATGTAACTTTCAATAAAACATTCATTCATACCGGAGGCTTTTAATATTTCACAAATGTAACAAATGAACAATTTATTATATCACGCGAAGAATATTTATCAATAAATTTACAAATCTTGAATTATCAAGATTTTTATTTTAAATCACATTACCCAAATAATTATATTTATATAATTTTAAGTAAATTAAATAATATTACTTCTTATTAGGTAGGTACTTGAAACGCGATTTAAAAAAATATATTTAAATTGTTAATTTTATTTTTATATTTTTTTTCACCATTTATCGAACTCCTGGTGCTAAATAATAAAATTAGTCAATAAAAGTCTTTTCCATTAAATTAATATTAGAATCTAATTCTAATTTTTTTTTTTTTTTTTTTTTGAACACTTTCCAAAGTTAAATTATATGCAAAAGTAATTATTAATAATTCGCAATAGACTAACTATACATAGAATTATCGCAAAATTGCAATCTAATTTTTAAATAAATAATTCCTCGTGATATAACAAGTTGTTCATAAATATCCTAAAATTTGATTTGTTGTGCCGAAGCAACAGTAAACAAAGCCTTAAATTCAAGTGCAGGCTTGGCACCAAAAAATCAATATTTCAGTACCAACTGATGCAAAAGAAAAAATTCAAAACAAGAAGAAAATTGGCACAAAAAAATGAGTATTTAGAAATAAATAAAGATTTATACAATATTTAAATCGCTCTTTTTTTAACATTAAGCTGTTTACTGAAACATTGACTTGGTGAAACAAAAAAACTTATTTTTATTATTATTGAACTTCGATTTTGGTAGAGTAATAGAGAATAGTCGAGTTGCAGAATAGTAAGTAGCAAAAATACTTTTTCTTATAAAGAAACGCAACTATTCCCAGTTTATAGAACATAAAAACCATTTCATAAAACGAAAGAATAAATCCTGTACTATATTATTGCATCACCCTAGTAATAAATAACATTTTTTTTTTTCACTTTTTGGAAAAAGTACTTTTACACTTGATATTACTTTTAAGGAAAAATAAATCATTTACATCAATGATAAGAAGAACAGTAAATCAGGCACGAAATTTTGTTGTCAAATAAATGCTGAATCTATAATGATCTAAGCTGCTCATTTCTAGTTTTTTTTTTTTTTTTTTTTTTTTGGAAATGTTTTAGAAGCATTCTACAATGAAAATTTGTGCGAATTAATATTCAACAATTTTTTGTGACATTATTATGCAGAACACGAATCCATATTTCTATATATTAAATAATTTTTCAGAGACCTCTTCTTTTCTTCCAAAATCGAAAATCTTGGTTTTTTTTGTAATGAAGATTTCTCTCACTCTCTCACATATACAATATTATTAATGTCAGCATATTATTCGAAATTGCTATGGAGGTATTATTTTGCTTCATTGTACATAGTCATTCTATTTTTTTGTACATTATCACTCTACAAGTGTCTTCATTCACACTATCTGAGTGGTTTTTTTTTTTTTTTTTTTTCTTTTAAATATTTTCATTGGATTTCTTTGATATATGGTCAAACGGCATTATATGAGCGTTAAACCAAATTGATGATGATATTAAGATGCAATACATAAAAAAAAAGAAAAGAAACTAAATAATCTAATATGAACTATGAAAAATTTATAATAATCAATTTAGATTTAGATATAGTTAAAGATAATTAAATATAATAACATAAATAAATGTAACAGTTTAATTAACGTGTCAAGTACCAATGTTTGAGAATAGAAAAGAAAATGAATATAAATAGTGTTTTAAATCTAATATTATGATCTTATGATTGTTACATTCTGTTTCACACTGTGGTTTTAAAAACTATATATATATCTGCAGAAGATATTTTATATATATATATAAATTTTCTCTTGTCAAGAGTCAAGAATTACATATATATTGATTTCATCTCTAATTCACTAGAGGAAATACAATATAGAATTATTTACATTTTTTTGTCGATTTTTAAAAACCAACGTTGATCCTAAGTATTTTTTTTATATAATAATGTATATCATTCCAGATATGTACACGCCCTTCAAACTGTAAAAAATGTCAAGAGAGATCAGCAATCGAAATATAGGCAATAAAAATGCCAGCTTTACAGAATTCATAACTAGGAAAAATCTTGACTATTAGAATTCAACTAATCAAATTAGCTATTTATTTTTTTTACTTGTTTTATATGTCCCAATTAAATCGTCGGATTAAATATTTATTATTATTAATAATTATTATTATTATACGCACATTAATCAGGATTGATAAATATCCAAAGCAAATACTCGACGATCTATCGGCGAACACCAGAGCTAAATAATCTATTACACATTTAACAAGTATGAAAGAGAGAATTTTTCATACTTGCTTTTATCATCACAATGTATCGCTTATACTTCTACGCACACATTACACTTGTCTGCAAAAGAATTTTTTTTCCATCTCGTGTTTTATAAACAAAAAATATTTATTGTCCTTTTTTTAAAAATCAAAAGTTCGGCCTAAATTGATTTCGAATATTTGTTTTCTTTTTTTTACTTTTAAGTAGAGTTTTTTTTCCTGCCAATAATCATTTTTATAAGACGAAGATTAAAGAATCTTTTATAATAAAGATTGAGATATTTCAGCTAAACATTTTATTAAATTGTACGATTAATTTTATCCTTTATTTTAACATTACAAACGAATGCTATAGATTCTTTTTTTCCCCACGTTCTACACTCTTTTATTATAATTGAATTTTAAGATAGATTTTTCGTGCATATATTTTGAAAAGTGAATTTTTTTTTAGATTGCTGATTAGAAGATATTTGATATCTTTATAATTTTACCACAGAATAGCCAAATTGAATATCATTAATGATACTTTTAATCCTAGACTGGCTCTTTTAAAAAATCCTAATAATATATTTTCAATATTTAAAATAATTATTATGCCGAACTGATTTTTTTTCTACGATGATCACTAAAACTTTATTTTCTTTTTAAATGTCTTGTATCATTTTCATAATCAAGCCTCAAAAAAAAATTTATTTATCACTTCATTCAGAAGTCCCTTAGCACACTGAATTAAACTCACAAATTTTCTTTCCTTCTTTTTTTGTAGTTTTTCCAATGTTTAGAGATTTTTTTGTGTTTTTTATTTTCTTTGTTTTAAATATTTTTTTTGCACTGCAAAAAGAAGTGCTATACTTTTTTTTGCAAATTGTTTTTTTTACGAAGGTCACGCAGTAGTGTAGAGGGTCACACTTGCAATGTGTTGATTTGCCATAACTTCTACAATGGCATCTCGAATTCCATAACAGAATGTGCAACCAAATGGATTTGTGGTATTTGTAGAAGACGAGCGATTTAGAACGACGGGTCGAGCGCTTGCATTTAGTTGCTCGCTTACTCTGTCCCATTTTGTATAGGCAGTGATCTAAAAAATATCATCACCTTTCAATTATTTCAAGGAGAGAGAGAGAGAGAGAGAGAGAAAAAAATGAACCAGAAAACTGAAAACCTAAGCGCAAAAGCAGAGAAGATGAAATAAAAAAAGTAATAAGCCACCAAAATGTTTTTTTTCCGAAAAAAATGAAAACAACCCGAAAAAAAGACAAAAAAAAATTTGTGCGATTTGTAAGCACTCTCAGTGAATGAGATAATAGGGAAAAAAATAGGAAAACAAAATTCCAAGGTTCAGTAGAATTTACAAAGCCACAGACACACACACACACACTATTGTAAAGCATTTTTTTTTCTAGAGTGCAATCAAAATGAGAAACATTGCATTTCCCCAAAGGGTGCAAAAAAATAACTTTTTGTTAAATTTCATTTTATAAGTAAAAATTTTTTTTCTGCATGTCAAAGCATTTTTGAAAATATCAGAAAACGCCAAAAACAAATTCATGCAAGGTGAGCAAAAAAAAAAAAGAAATATTCAAAGTTGTTTGAAACTCACCGTCACAGGAGTGGGAGTGACATCGATGAGTTTCCCAGAATCGACGGAACTATTTTCTGGGGGTAGAGAGAGAACAAATTCACAACGATGATACATATTGAAGTTGTAATGCCCTGGGTAATTTGTATGTAAAACAAATTTTTTAACACACTGGGTTTTAGCATCGAATAATACATCCTGAAATTAAAGATAATTATTAATTTATTTCGAATTACCGATTTCGAAACGTTAAAGTTATTTCCCAAAAAATTTGCCATTTACTAGAAATTTGTTATTAATTTATTAAATAGTACAAAAAATAACCTTAATTATTAAAATTATTAAAAAACAGTAAATTAAATCAAAAAGTAAAATTTATTTATAATTTAAGAAAAAAAGATTACTTGAATTTTATAAATAAAAATTAATTTCTTTCTTATTTACTAGTTTTTCAGTTGAATTCATAAATTTTTTAATGTTTTAAAATAAAATAATTTACCAATCCCAACGTGAAATAATTGTAGAAAAAATCAGATCTTCTAACTTTATCCCGCTTATGCGCATGAGGACTGTGAATTCGCATTTTATCTTCAGCTTTGAAGAAAACACGAGACGGTGCTCCAAGGGCACTCAAAACATCTTCACAAGTGTCGCCAAACCAGACCTAGAAACGAAAAATGCAAATCTTCATATAAGAAAAAAAATATTACGGAACAGAGACAATTTTACTAAAAACTTAAAAAAAAATAAAGAAAGTGTTTTCAATCTTTTTAGTAAATAGAAAAATGAAAAAATTTCTCGTTTATGATTTATATTCTTCCAAAATGATTGTTTCTCGAAAAATTGAATTTATTTCAAATAATTTGAATTTTTTGCTGTCATTTTATAGTCTGTATGCATAAAATTTACATAAAGCAACGTTGGAAGTTTATCGGCAACTTGTGCTTATAAAATAAGAGACAAATATATTCTCCTTTCACTTCTACCATAATTGTAAATATGACGTTGCATTATTGCGTTAATAAAATCTAAGAAGGCGTGGTCAAAAGTAAAAATTAGACTAATATAAATTTTTTTTATAGTAATGTTTTTGCCTAAATTTAGCGTTTTTATATCCGTAATATAATTTCCATTACCAAGATAACAACCAGTCAGAACATATTTTCTGAATTTTTTAAATAAAAATTTTCTTTTTAGAAATTACCTCTTTTGTCAAACAATGCTTCTTTGGCTCAAGAAGAACTCTTGTAGCAGAACTGCCTTCTGTGAATAAGTGCATTTTCAAGCCACGAGTTTGAGTTTTGTCCCTGACAACTTCGGCTTTTTCCAGGTACAAATTATTGTGATAACAAACCTAAACAAAGAAGAAAAAGAAAACGTTCAACGATTAGATATTAAAACTTTTTTAAATTGTAATTTGTAAAAAGAATAATTACGAGAGGCAAAGGTGGAGGTGGTGCTTTTAAGTTGTGTTCTTCACTTCCAGTGCCTCCCGCAGCCATATTTCCCATGTAAATGGCAGTCTTAGCGACTAAGGGAGACGTTCCATTTGGAAATTGTAATGACCCAAGACCATGGGCATAGCCTGGTTGGAATTTTGAGTCCATTGGAAAGTAAAAGGACAAGCCTCGGAAGTTTAGCACGAAGACCTAAAAATTATTATCCAATTGTATTCTTATAAATTAAATTTTACATTCTTAATTTCAGTTTTTTAATTTAATTTTTTTTAGTTTTATTTAAAAGCAGAACTGATTTTATTTTTTTAATTTAGAAATTAAAAATATGTATAAGAAAAAAAATACCTGTTTATCACTGTCATAGACACCAGGATGAGTTGCTCCAAATGAATGTTCGATTTGTTCAATTGATGGCAACACCTCTGGAGAATTGAATGCCAATCCACAGTATTTAAGTTTAACTAATTTCATATTATAAATTTCAATAATCTTGAGCCTCTGCACGACAGGATCAAATATGAGTCGTACACCATCGTGCGGCAAATTTATTACTAGATCTACTTCTAACGGATTCTGAAAATAGAGAGAAAAAATTATTAAATAATAAAAAATCAACTAATTTTTTTAATATAAATAATATTCTGTAAGTCATTATTTAATCGAAAATTGTAATTATTTAATCAGATGAAAAGAAATAAAACGTAAATAAATCTCAAATAAAAAACAAAAACTAAATATGAGTTTCGTAATAAAAAAAAAAAAAAAAAAAAAATATAACCTAATGCAATTGTTTCCCATTTACGTTTGCAAAACATTTTTCTTTATAGGTGAACTTTTTATGAATACTAGCTCACTGACAAAGACAGAAAGCTTCTGATATTTCGTAATCGCTAAAATTACATCAGAGACGGTTAAGTCATCTGTTTCTTTATCACTGCATCTATAATAATTTAGAGTTTAGACGTTTAATTGAAAAACTATTAGACAGTGCAAACAATTAATTCTCTAAATGGTTTTCTTTTTTCCATTATAAATTATAAAAAAGCATTACAAATTTTGCAGGTAAACATTTTAAACCGATTATTTTGCACATTTAAAATTAAATCATTTATTTATTATCAAGTGAAAAAAAACATACGTGACAAAATTACAACACATTAAATTATTTTTGACATTATTTATGAATCAGTGAAAAATATTTTCTTTTAAATAAATTGAATCAGTTGAATGAAGTTAATAAATTTCAAATGTTAAATTTCATCTAGTTCTATAAATGATTTCAACTCCTGGCCAAATTTTTACATTCTTGTCATATGACAAGGTATTATATTTGACGAAATAATATTGAAAAAGCCAAATAAATAAATATGTTAATCGGTAGAAATAAAAATACGATGCTAAAAAATAATTCAATTACCCTGCTAATTATATTAACTGAATAATAAATTCTTATATTCAATTGACAAAGCAATCGGAAAAATAATTACTAATAATGAAACGCGAGGAAATAATACAGTTACAGTAAATATTACAAAAATGATATATAATTTCAATGATGATGATAATAATAATATATTACTTACAACATCACTGTACAGGACTTGGACTCCTCTAATAATGCCCACTTGAGACTGTATAATAGATACAGACTGAGAGAAATGCATACCTGAAAATAAAATGATCATGTTAGTAATGACAGTTGTTAAATTATTAGTTTTTATCAGCTGTCGAATTGATACAATAAAAATAATAAAAAGCGTCATAACAAAAATCATAACGAGTGAATGTTTGTCAACACTCAAGTCGATACGAATTCATTATCAACCTGTTTGTTCAGGTTTAAGAAGGCGCGCAAAAGAAAAGTATAGGTACAAAAATCACTATTTTAAAAGAGAGATGTCACTTTTTGCATTTCAATTAATTAAGGGAAATAATTTTCAATTACATAATACATAGGTCAAGAGTAGTTTACATGCCGCCCCTGGTTGCCTTTGTTTACATGCGATTGTCAAAATAAACGCGTATCCGGAATTAAAGGAAAAAGATCTAGTAAATTGTGCACTATAGTGGCGTCAATTTAATAATTAAACGTCGCCATTTGTTTAATTATTGACAAAACAGTTAACAAATTAATGATGAAATAGAGAATTGTATTTTGTTATCAAACAATACAATAATACGTAAATACAATTTTGTATATAGGAAAAAAAGAAAAGATGAATAGATTTTACTTTGATGTTTCGTCACTTGCCTAAAATAAATTCCCATTGCTCGCAGCCGAGGGATCTTTCGGGCACCACCTCGAGCTCCAGCATTCTATGATCGTTTCACTCAATTTTTATGCCCGAAAAAAAACTAAACACACAAACTTGACACGGCCTCGATTTTCACGAGAAACTGCGTTCTTTGTCTACACACACTCAACCTACGACCAGCAATCAAGCGGCCATATTGCTTTTAAAAACCACTACTACCAATGCACTTGGTTTGCAAACTGTCACTGAACAGCTGATGCACTTGCCCTCGCCTCTTGACAGGCCCGTAATCATCATTTCATAAACCCTTTCTATTATTTTAAATATTTTGTTGATTATTGTAACTAAAATTAATAAGTTTAAGATGAAAGTTCTATGTGGAGTTTATAAAAAAAAACAAAAACAGTTGGCGCCATTTTTTCAAAAGCGGTAAATTTGAATTTTTAATTTCTTTATTTTTTGTAAAGTTTTTACTTTTTTTTAATACAAAATATAGATTTTATTTAAATTTTTTAAGAAAAAAAATGCAATCTAGAGAAGTAAATTGTAAGGGATTTTTGAAAAATTTTAAATAAGTTAAGAGTGGCCAAAGTTAACTCTCGTCGTGACCCGTCGAACGTTTGAGTAAGGCAGGTTGCCCTCCATGTAGGCGTTTCTTCATGATAAAGTATTTTTATATGTTTTGTATTATTAATTTAATTTAACTTTTGTATACTGTAATTTTTATTTTATTTAAAAATCGGGAATATTATTAGAATTATATACATTTTATGTAATATAAAACTATTTTATAACAATTATTATTTACAATGGTATACAATTAAGTGTATAGTATAATTATTTTCTAATTAAAGAAAATAAAAGAAAATGTTTAATTATTTTAAGAAATGTCCTTTTCAGAAGATGACATTCTATTCACCTATGTCTTAATGGGTTGGGTAATTAGCATTATTCCTTTTTACAAATTTACCTGAATTTACCCACAAAGGATTTAGGGAACCAATAACAGGTGACAATAGACTAATGGGGAAATTTTCAAAATCATCTCAGTTTAAAAGTGTCTTCGATGGTGAACAGTTCTTAGTTTGCATTAAAATAAGTGGAAAAGTTGAAAAAAAAATTGTGAAAAAAAATAAAATTGTTTTAAATAATACAAATATTTGTTATCATGGGTAACATTATTTCAAATCGTGAGGATATGAACAACAAAAATATTGAAGAAGCAGTTCAATTTGATAAAAATTTTTATACTGAATTTATTTTGCAAGACAAAATTGAAACGTATGAAAAAATTCTTTTTAAACAAAGGTAAATAATTAATACAATATAGAAATATAATAATTAGAAAAAGATAATAAAATGTTTTAAAAAATTAGCAAAATTAAATATTTTTAAGATATTTTACTAAATATATAATTTTGATTAATAAATTATAATAATTAATGTAATATATAAATATAATAACTAATGTAATATTTAATAATTAATATTTAATATAATACATATATAAATATAAGAATTAATATTATATTTTTTATTAATTGGATATTCTCTATTTGAACAGAGAAAAATATATGTCAGATGTAAAAGAAGCAGAAACATACATAGAAAAAAAATTTCACGTTGTTCAAATTTGTGATTATGGAAACAATTTAATTAAAACAACAAATTTATTAAAAAATCATGAATCACTAATGAAAGAGTTGGAAGATTTTGATAAATTTTTTCTAAATTTAAAAAATCAAATTGAAGATATAAAAATCCTGGAATCAAAATTATCAATAGATTCTTCATCTAATTTGATTTCTATTGACGAAATACAAACACATTTGGAATGTAAATTTGAAGATTTAATGAAATCAGCGAAATATCGTCAAAAAAAATTAAATGCAAACAGCAAAACATTTATTTTATTAAATGAAGCTGCGGAACGTGTCGATCAAACTTTAAAAACAATTAGCCAATCCGAGGTAAGAATTAAAATATTAAATTAGGATCAGTTGGGGTAAATGGGGACAAAATCGCTATTTTTCACAAATCACGTAAGTTTCTTCCTTTAAAACGTAATATTTGCAGGTTTATATTTTTTTAAGTTGTTATTTACGTTACCAGGATTAATTTTATGCATCAGAAAAAAAATTTAGATAAGCTTTAAACGCATGAAACTGACTGTCCCCATTTACCCCAAAATTTAGAAAATTTCATAAAATTTGGGGTAAATGGGTACAGCATAGTTTCTAACAAAGTTTTAAGAAAAAAGTTTCCTTAAGCATATTACTGTATTAAGGGATGAAAAAACTTGAAAAAAATTTGTGGTAGATATATAATAGTTGAACCAATTGAAATTTTTTTTTATTTCAGTATTTTGTCTCGCATTTGAAAAAAAACAGACTTAAAAATCATACCAAATTTTTTTCTTATTCTTTATGACTCCCATAACAGAAATTCACATGAATTTTTGATTTTTGTTAATTTGGTTAATAATGACAAAAATCAAAAATTCAAATGAATTTCTGTTATAGGAGTCATAAGGAATAAGAAAAAAATTTGGTATGATTTTTAAGTTTGTTTTCTTTGAAATGCTCGACAAAATACTGAAACTGTTTGACTTTGATTTTCAAGTTTTTATGCATTGAGCGATAACTTTTTTTATCTTGCTGCCAATTGTCAAGATAAAAGCTTGGCAATACTCAAAACCTCTTGCAGGTGATCTGAGGTTAAAATATTGACGTTGAACTTCATTTTAAAACTGTAATTAAGCTCCAAAACCTCTTGTCCCCATTTACCCTATTAATATTTAATAATTTTACTATATTTTTAATAATTAATTTTTTATTAATTTTTTATATGTTCTTATTTCAGATCGAATGTGAAAAAATCACTGAACATTTACCTGATACAGAATTTTCAAAATATTACAATAATTATCAAATAAGCATTAGAACGAGTAAAGTGAATTTAATTATACTCAATCAAATGGACACTGAAATTTCAAAATTGGATAAAGAAGACGAACTTATTCAACTTCGATTGGAAATTAAATTGTTAGAAAAAAAAATTTTATTGTTTTTTGAAAAACTGGGACCTATTTTTGAAAAAGAAAAATTTCTTCGTGACATTGATAATATTACCACTAAATTGAATGATAAATTTCATAAAATGTTATTAATACTTATTGATGCGGAGAAAGATGAAAATATTTATTTAAATTTTCGTCTAATTCATGATAGAAATTTGTTACAATTCATTAATGTTTTTAAAGAAAAAATTAATGAATTAAATAAACGTCAAGAATTATTTTTACAAATAAATTCAACATTAGCTGAAGATTGTTGTAAATTTCAAAAAATTAATAATGATTGGACATTTTTTATTGATAGTATAATGGAAGCGAGAGAAATTATTTTTCAAAAGGAGGAAAAACTTAGACTTTTTTATGATTGTCGACAATTAATGGGAAGACTTGTTTCACAATTATCAGTAATTTCAGCAACAATGTTAAATTTAAGGGATATTAATAATAATATTAATTTAAGACGATAGCTTTTTGTATATTTATTTTTAGTTTGCGAATATTTTGTATAAACATTTTTATTATTCCAACTATAACTGTAAATGTAAAAATATATTCTTCGTGGATTTTACTCTTAAATTTAAAATATTTATTCGGATGAAGTGATGTTTTATAAATTATTTTTGTAAACATGTAATATAATGAAATATATGTTATTTTCAATTTAAAATAAAAATTTATTTTGGAATTTTCAACATTAATTTTAATGTGATATAAATTTTTTTTTACTTTATTAAACATAAAACAATTGTTCAAGAAACTGTATTTGGCTCTATCTGTACGTAATCCAATAAAGCTCGTACATTAATTATCTGCAGTTAAAAAATATTTATTTCAAATGTTTCAAATTTTAGATTAACAAAAAAATAATTTCTTTCAAAAATTGGAAAATCGTTGTTTAAAAAATCGTAATAATTAATTCATTTAAAATAAATAAATTAATATTTTCAAATAAATAATAAGTGAGCGATTCCAGGTGAGATTTTGACTTTTTCGGAGTAGGTTAACCGATTGCAATGAAACTTTGGAATTTTGTTATATATAGTAAGACTAATCTTTAACGTAAATTTCAGCTTAAAATATTTGTTAGTTTACGAGATTTGCAATAATAACAAAAAAATTTAAACTTCTATATCTACCATTCTAATAATCGGATTGAGGTCTACTTTTTTTTAAATGTAGATTTTAACCAATATCGTATATCATAAAGAATTTCGAGGAATAAGTGGTCCGATCTCGTCACATAAACATCCCGTGCTTATCAAAGTTTTGGTTTAACAAACATAGCCCGGTATGAACAAAGACGAGCTGGTGGACCAACGGATGACGAGCTGCCTTCGAAGGCAGTCCTGCTTGGTCTTGTATCGAAGACAGATCAAACATATTTATGTCTTATTATATGCTTAATTAATATTATATTATAACCCATTTAGGGTCAACCGGGGTAAATCCGAACACTTTTAGTAAGTTTCAACAATAACATAAGTTTTTTCTTTAAAAAAAAAAATACTTCCGGTATTCTGGTGCATGAAGTTGTTACTTTACTTCCATAGAACAATTTTATGGGGTAGCAAAAATTTTTAATAAATTACAATCGCAGGAAACTTAGCGTTCGTATTTACCTCGATACTTTGCAACTTTCCTAAAATATGGGGGTAAATACGAACGCCACTGTATTTCAGAAAAATCTTAGGGAAAATAAATTTAAAGTATTGCAATTGTTAAACTTATATAAAAACTCAAAAAAAATACGATAATAAACCTATTATGTAATAATGCATCATATATAAATACAAAAATCAAACAGGTTAAAAATTAAAATGCATTACACAATTAAAACCTTCAATAACTTTATCAAATCATAACGGATTTTTGCAAAACTTGGTACAGAAAGTATTTTGGAGTGATTGAATGTAAATACAAAAATAAAAGTCAAATTTTTTAAATTCAAAATGGCGGACTTTCCTAAAACTTATTTTTAAAAATGATCAAATTTTCTAACTCCAAATTCGTAATCAGCGACCCTGAAACCCCCCGAGTAACAATTTTCGAGCGAATCCAATCAATTTTTTAATTCTCGTCCGCCATTTTGAATTTTGAAAAACTGACTTCAAATTGGTAATTAGCGACCCCAAAAACCGTAGAATACCAAATTTTATTAAGATCCTGAAAAACTTTTTTCAACAAACCATTTGGCAAAAAAATTGAAACACTCCTTCGAGAGAACAGAGATTAAGTTTCTGCTTATTAATTACTAACGAGGATACGTATAGAAAGAAAAACTGTTTTCTATGTACTTTTATAATGTTAAAATAATAGTGTAATCAAATAAAAACAATTTTTGATATAAGAAAAAATTATTGAAAATACCGTTCGGATTTACCCCGGTTTTCTAATTTTCCTGGGTAAATACGAACGGTCTGATATTATTAATAAAATTTTACAGAAGGCAAAAATCAAAAATAGTTTCTGTTCTAGTATTCATAACAAACAATTATAAATAATAAAATAAATTTTTAGCTTCTTTTTCTTCAAATACGAGACAAAATACTGAAAGAGTGTCATCTTTGATTTTAAATATTTTTTGCAATACTCGTTATCTTTGTTTATGCTGTTGCTAATTAACAAACAAAAAATGGGATAATACTTAGAATCTCTTCAAGAGGATCTGAGGTAAAAATTCTCATATCGAACTTATTTTTAAAATTTTTAATTAAGCTGAAATAATTAGCGTTCGGATTTACCCCCCGTTCGGATTTACCCCGGCTGACCCTAATTAGGAACAATTATTATTTATAATAATATATTTCCTACAGATTAGTAAATAATTACATAATATTTTTTATTTGTTTTTATAATAACGTAATAGAAAATATTTTTTTGATTAAAAACAACATTTTCATTGTATAATAATAAATGGTTTTTAAAGTATTAAAATCGATTAAAACAAGTTATTGTTTAATTAGATTTCTTATTTAAAATTTCTTTCTTAAAATTGTGTAAATTTTTATATCACTTCGTCACACACAAATTAAATGTGACGTTGATTTCACAATTTTATACTCGGAATGACGTTAAGGAAGGCTCGTTCTCAACATGATACGCTATCAATCATATGTTTATGTAGCAAATTCTTTTTATTTTATTTTTTTTCGCAAAACTTCATTACTTCAAACTGAAGTTTATTTGCATCATCATAGTTTGTTTTAAAAACAAATAATTTCTTTAATAAATTAACAATTGTTAATTAATTAATTATTAATTGACAATTAAAATTTAAAACTCCATTAAATATATTTTATTATTTAGAATTAGACAATATAATTATTTACTGTCAAATTAATTCGGAATTGTAAATTAATTTTTTATTTTAATTATATTTTAATATTTAAATTATTGAAATTATTTAATTTTTTTTTATTATACATATTTAAATAAATTTTAGAAATGTATATTTTTTTTTAAATTCTATAATGATAATAAAATTAATTTTATAAGCTTACGAAATTTGATGTTTACCCGCAGAATCTAAAATTGATGTATGCATTATTTTTATATTTAATTGCAAAATTTCTTGCCGATAATCAACCAATATGTGGGGAAATAATCGTGACCCCCTGCGATGTCTTGTCCTCGTTGTTACAAAACAGTTATCAAATCTCCTTTAACCCCAAGATTAATGCCAAGACTATAATCATCGCAACCTATACAAATACTTTCCATTGTTTTATCAAACGTGCTCAATTTTTACATATAGATATATTTGCGAAAAAAAAATAATAAAATAATAAAATTTGTATGGAAATTTTCAATATATGTATATTATTTATTTATTTTTTTAGAAAACGTAAACGGATAAATGGAAAAATTATTTAATTGTTTATATCATAATATTTATCTCAATCTTTTATTTGATTATACAAATTTTTTATTATTATTTTTTCGTTTTATTATTAAATCGATTTCTCATTTGTTCTTTGATAGTTTTCCTTTATATGTTCTAAATCACTTACTTTAATGAGTATTCAAGTATTATAATTTTTCAAAGAAAACTTTTGTAATTTCTTTCTTAATATATTAAAGAAATTATTTAAGTTTTATAAAATTGTAAAAAATGAAATTTAAACAGGGTGAAGTTATAATATTAATCAATATACCTGTAATTATAGATAATTAATTTGCCCGATTGACCTATATGCATTTTTCTTTTTTCGTGTAACCAGATATAACTGGAAAATGATATAATTTAAAGAAAAAAAAAAATAAATTCAAACAGATAGATTGTGCTCACTCAACTAAAACTAATAATTATTCCATTGACAACTTATAACTATGTACATGTAAGTTTTAATTTAAGATAAAAAAAAATTTGTTATTCTTTCATTTAGAAAATTTTCTTTTCAAAAAATATGTTTAAATTTTTCTTCTTTTTTTATTTAAAAAAAAATGGTGTACCTAATTATTTTATTATCTTATTTCTTTCTTTTAATTATTTATTTATTTATTTATTTATTTAAATATTACCTTTCTTTCTTTCAATATTTTAGTTTTTCAATTTTTACTTTTATTTATTTTAATAATTTATTTATTTAAATAATTCATTTAAATATTTTATTTACCTATTTCTTGCAAATTTTTATTAATTTCTTTCAATGTTTTATTCATTTCTTGCATTATTTTATTTTTTTCAATATAAAAATAGTAAAATAATTCTATTTGTTAAATAATAAAAAAAATGTTTGTTAAAAATTTGTTTTCTATATTTTTCTCCCCTTTTTCTCATAGAAAATTTATTTGTAATATTTGTATAAAAAATTTTTCTTATTGCCTATTGTATATTAAAGAAATGTTTATTTTTTTTACCTTTTATAGTTTTTCGAATAACTTTGTAAATAATATTGTTTTTGAAGCTATTAACCAGGATAAAAGATAAATTCTCGTTTTTCTTTTTTGTTAAGAAAGAAAGGTGTTTTTTTTAAGCTTCATTTAATTTTTTTTAGCAATTTTTCAAGGTTTTTGTGATATCAGAATATATTTTACGTGTGTATCGCTTTTTTTTAAAAACAGGTTCCACTTTCCATCTCATTTGAAAGTCATAGGACAAAGTCTTCAAAAAATGTACGGTTATTTAATATGGCATACAGATCATAGAACAGAGTCCGAATCCAGGTTGATCAGTTCAGTGAGTGATTTATATAAATGTATAATGAGTCATTAATTTTATAAAGTCAACAAAAGATCCTTTGTTTATTTATCATTTTCCAAATCTAGAACTTGCATTTCAAATTTTATTGGATTTATTTTTTTTTTATTTTATTTGTTTGTTCATCACATTTATAGTTAGAAAATTTTTTTGATAAAAAAAAATTTATTTTATTCAAATAATCGGTTACTTGACTATTATCAAATAAATATTTACTTGAACCAAATAATTATTATTTAAGATGGTATTTGTTTCAAATACAGAAATTATTCGTTCAAATGAAGTTTATTTGGTTTAAAAAAAAAAATTATTTGGTTCTACAAAATAATTATTTGATAATAGTCGCAAGTAACCGATTATTTGAGTCAAGTAAATTTTTTTTTTCAGTGAATGATTATATTTGAATCATTTTAATTGTTTGAGTCAAATAAATTTTTATTCAACAACGATTATTTTTGAATAATTATAATTATTTGAATCAAATAAATTTTTAATTAAATTTAATTAAAATTTCCAATCTTCAACGGTATTACATCAATATGAAAGAGATAAAAAAATTTTTCGGGGAATTTTCCAACTTTATAATAAGATAATTAATTATTATCAATATCGAAAAAGAATTATTAAAACCAGAAATATCAAATTAATAAGCTTTTCTTATGCCTACTTTACAGATTTGATATTACATATTCAAAACTAGACTCAACTGGACTAACAGTACAGAGTACATCCTGTTTGTTTAAATAAAAAAGAGTATTATCTCTTATAATTAAGTTAACCTTTGTCAATGATCTTCAAATCACTTTTCAATTTTTTTTTTTTTGCAAAAAGTCAGAGGCGAGTTGTGCGAGACGAACACGGAATTTTTTTTAAATTCAGAAATATTCCATAATTAAAATAGCATTTCGTTTAATTTAGAAATGGTTATTATAAATAATTTTTCATATTTTATTAATTGTTTAAATAAATAATTTATGTATAAACAATTTGTACATACGTTGTATATACGTTTAATAGTTAATAAATTGATTATTATTGTTAAATTTTAAATTATTTTCCAATTTATATAAAGAAAAATATATTTATTATTTTATCAGCATTGAATTCTTTCGACATCACAGTGAATTTAAATAAGGAATTACAAAACAGAATTTAAATGTTGAGGGCTTGTCTCAATATCAGCCAATAAGAATGCTACATTTTATTAATCTCAATCGTTAATATGTTTGAAAATATCGTTGTTTACCAAGTATAAAATATTTATTACACAATTATTTAAATTTTTTAAAAAATATCGAAATTGCGTTCAACTTTTTCTTTAAAGTCCATATACATATAAGAAGAGTTTTCTAATAAAATTATTTTTAAAAAAATTGTAGATTTATAACATATATAATTAAATGGACTTTTTCTCATTATATTATCATTCTCAGAATGTTATCTTCTTGGGGCATAGAAAATATCAAGTCCAGACACAGAATGGACTACGGACTGATGCGCGTGGCAACGACCAGGAATATATATATATATATATATATATATACGCGAATTTCCTCCTGCGGATTTAATTCACTAATTCCATCTAATCTTAAAATCTTCTTATCGCAAATAAATAAATTTGCCTCCAAAAAAATTTTTTTGAATTAAAAAATATGTTGCAGCTTTCAATTATTTTTTAATTATATGTCATCTCTTACAACCACCCACTTAAATTCTAATTAATTAACTAAATATTTTCAACTATAAATACTTTAGTACATTTTAAATCTTACATTGAAAAAAAAATTTTTCATTCAAATAAACTTTTAATTATCAAGTTAAATATTTATTTGTATTAAATAATTCTTATTTTAATTAAATGGTAATTATTTCAATTAAATTTTGTTTTAAATTGTACAGAAATTATTGATTCAAATACAGTTCGAAAAAAATTATTCAGTTCAAGTAAATATTTATTTGGTTCAAGTAAATATTTATTTGATAATAGTTGATTATTTGAATGAAATAATTTTTTTTCAGTGTATTTTTTAAAAATTCTTTTAAATAATTAAAAAAAAATTTTAATTATTATTATTATTATTATTATTTTTATGAGAATAATTGTAAAATACTTTGGAATATTCTCAAACCTTATCTGAAAAGTCAAGTAGCAATGGATTGCAGTGAAGGTGAATTTTATTTAACTTTTCTGATAAAATATTTAATTTATTGTATAACCTTGTTCATTGTAAATATTTATTTTACTAGAATATAGTTAGTGGCAATATTATTTTGTAACACAAATTGACTTTAAAGATTAAAGGAGAAAAAATTGATCTTATTTAAAAAAAATATATATATATTATATATTAATGTCAAATAATTTTCAAGAAATAAAATTTTTAATTTTATTTCATTAAACAAAAAGTGAACTTTTTATTTCAATAAGAATAAAGTGTTAATTTAAATTTTAATTAAAAATTTCAAAATCTGGCTAATAGAGTGAAATTTTACTAATTTAGATTTGACCCTTTCTTGATAGGATTTTATAATTTTTTTTTTTTTATTTTATTAAAATTATTTTCTCAAGGTAAAAAAATAATTTTTCATTAATTTTTTATTTTAATTTATTATAATTTTTTTTAAATAAAATTTTTTTTTCACTACATGTAAGGAAGTAACGAGTATATTTTTGCCATTGCGCATGAGCAACACAACTGATATATTACATGACTTGCGTGTGTAGTCATTCAATTACTTTCGCTTCTTCCTGGTTCTCCGGATGGGGTGCTTTTATTTCTTTTTGTTTTCTCTTATAATTATTAAGTTTCTTGACAAAAAAAAAAAAAAAAAAATCAGAAAAAATACAAATATTATTTTTTTTATGCATAAAATTTTATTTTCTCATTTTGTGTTCTAATAATGTTTTATTTAACAATAATAAAATTTTGTCCATTCAAAAATCATTTGATATTTCAATTTATATAAAAAGTATCTTCTTATTTGAAATAATAGTTTATTAAATAAATAAAATTAATAAAATGAAATTAAATAAGTGAAAATAATTTAAAAAAATTATATAAATAGAACTAAATTAATAAATTAAAAATGGATTATTATTGAAAATTACATTATTGAATAAGAAAATAGTGATTTAAAAAATCTCTTTTATTTCTCTCTTTATTATTTTTGTTTCTGTATTCTCACTTGTATGCAAATTTTTTTCCATTACTGTTTTCATATTGTACCTACAATTTTTATTTAAATAATTTAATTTCTCTTTAATTTCTCTTATAATTATCAAGTTTCTTAACAAAAATAATAATTATTATTTTATTAAAATTTTATTCTATTACTGTTTTTTACAACGAATTTATTTAAAAAAAACAGTTTTTAAAAATCACTTCTACTTTTTCCTGTACAATTTTTTTTCTAAAGAGAATTTTCCTAATTTTTTTTTCGATTTCCAGTCATACGAAACAAACAGAAATAAATTGTAGAAAGATGACGACAAAAATATGCGGATACAATAATATGCATATACTGCTAAAATTGTCACCACAGTTCTAATTATTATCATCATAATAACAAGAGAGGGCCTTGATTAAAAAAAAAAAAAAAAAAACATTAAAAATCTATATAGCGAACACTTAGAGCCTATCTTGTTCTTCAACTATACAATAATGCGCGTGCTAGATAGCGCGTAAAATGTGAGTCGAAAAATAGAAGGCGACGAGAGTTAAGTCTCGAACGGTCTCGTATAAAACCGGAGCGTGCGCCGCGAACTTGATTTACAAGAGGCCGATTAAAACAGTCGCCGAGTCAGGCCCCCTTTTACTCGCGGAAGCTGGAGCCGCACTGACTCTTTCGATCTCAGTCAGTGGACCAGCGAAACACTAAAAAAATCACCACCTTGGGTCCCCAAACTATTTCCCAGTGTGATCATAAAAAAAAAATTAAAAAAAAAAAAATTACTAAAATTGTCATCTTAGTGCTTTTTTCATCTTCAGTTTATCTTTTCGGAAAAATCATCTCGGAATCTGGAATAATCATCTGGGAAGGTAGAAATCACTTCGGAATTTTCAATCTAAAAATCTAGGAATATTTAAACTTTGGAATATTCAAATTTCGAATCTTTAAATTTTGAAATATTCAAATTCGGAATTTTCAAATTAGGAATATTCAAATTTGGAGTCTTTAAAATTTGGAATATTCAAATTTGGAATCTTCAAATTTGGAATTTTCAAACTTTGAACTATTCAAATTTTGAACCTTCGAACTTTGAAATATTCAAATTTAGAATCTTCAAATTTAAAATATTCAAATTCGAAATGTTCAAACTTTGAAATATTCAAATTTTGAACCTTCAAACTTTTAGAATATTCTAATTTGGAACCTTAAAACTTTGGAATATTCAAATTTAGAATCTTCAAATTTGGAATATTCAAATTTAGAATTTTCAAACTTTGGAATATTCAACTACGGAATTTTCTGCCTAGGAATAATCAAAACAATTCAAGAATCTTCAGGAGTCGAAGAAATATTCAGAAATCATCCAGGAATCAACCCAGTGATCATTACAAAAAAAAATCGCTAGTGAACCGTAACTTACTTCACCTAAAGACAAACTAATTCTACAATAGTCAAAGAAATATCCCACTATATTTATACCCCCCACCACTTTAAAAACCGGAAGATCAAAGTGTAAAAAGATCTAGCCAATCAGCCAATCAAATTTCCGGGGAATTGTTTTTATTATTTTTCCTATTATTATTATTATTATTATTATTTGCCCTTGAAAAAGTATAAAAGGAGTTGAAATTTACTCAAACAAGATGCCAACCATCAGATGGATAGTAACGGGGTGTCAAAATATAACGGGGAGTGTTCGTTGTTCAAGTTTTTTGAGATACCACACACCTAATATTGGTGTGAGAAAATTTTCTGGAATTACAAATTCAAATTTTCATAATTTTAATAAATGTACAAAATACATTTGTCAGCCAATTAACAAGGTGACGAGGAACAAGAGGACAGTGGATTTTTCAATATTTTCAAAAACCAGTAAAATGCCTGCTTCAATTGATTCATTTTATCCACAGTAAGTTGTTTTATTTTTTTCTTTTTATTACATCCAGAGAAAAGATTTCTTTGTGCATTAAATCAAAGAAATTCTTAGGATCAAAGAAACATTTATTTGAATTAAATAACAATTTTTTTTGAATCAAAGATAATTTGTTTGTAACAAATAAATTTTCTTTGTATCAAAGAAAAATTTAGCAAAGAAATTGATTTCTTTGAATCAAAAAAATCTTTCTTTTGGGTGTATATAAAAATAATTTTTATTTTCTTGTATATTAATTTCACTTTAAGATAAAGCCCCGGAAATCTTTGCGTGACACACAGCTTCCGATGAATCATATATGACGAGTGTTTGGACCCTTAATTTATATTATTAAATGAATCCAAATGGATTTTAACTGGATATCAAGGGTTTTTTTTTTTTTAAAGAATTCAATTTTAAAATTGTGAATTTTTTTGCACATTTTTTTTTAATTCTTTATTATTCCAAAAGTTTTTAATTTTAATTTATTATAAATAAATTGCATTTCTAAATGCAGAAAAAAAGACAGAGAAAAAACATTTTCTTTGTATATAGTAAAAACAATGAATGAAATAAATAATGATTCACTGGAAATTATTCGTGCCTACATATTTCATATGAGGACTTTAACCATCAGATAAATCAGCTTTAATCCCGAAAAAAATTACCAAAAATTACGTCATTGAATTATAATAAATTAAAACACATTTGATAAGAAATATTTAACGTGTTTTTGAATAAGCGAAGATAAGCAAAACGTTTGCAATATGCTTTTAAACGTTGGCAAAATTTAATTTGCCTGTTTGAAAAAAAAAAAACGAAAAGAAGAAGAATCAAAACACAAATAAAATAAAATAAAAATAGTTATTATTATAATAATTTATTATTAATTAATAATAGTTTTAGAAATATAAATTTCTTTTTAAGCCAAGATTTAATTAATCGAGTGGTGTTTTCTAATTTTTGGCCTATTGGCTTTTTATTTTTACATCAGTTTACATGACGCGTTTCGACGCAGAATTCTGCGTCCTCATCAGATATCATCACGGGTTAACTGAAGGACTAAAGCGTAGTGATAATTTTTATATTAAAGTATTGTGATATTTTTGTTTTTTTTATTTTTTACAAATATTGTTAGGTTATGACTTAATAATTTTGAAAACCATTTTTAATGTTTTTTAATTTAAAATTTCTGCTTAAAATTAAAGAATCTTAAAACTAAAAATTAAAAATAAAAATCATTTTCGAAACAGTTTGTTTCGAAAACACGTATAAATTAATATAATTATTATTAATTATTCATAAATTATAATAATAATAATAATAATTTTTTAAAAATGATTATTAGTATTAGTCTAAATTTTGCTATTTTTCTAGAGTTACGAGTCTTTTGACGACACATGCAGCAAAAAGTCCGTTAACAAAAAATGATTATTACGATCAAATAGGAGGTGTACCAATAATAAGCCATTTTAATACTCCACTATCACCGAAAGTAAGATCCTATATTGAGGAATGTGTAAAATTGTGTCAACCGGATGATGTTTATATATGTGATGGAAGTGAAGCTGAAAATAATCATTTGATTAATCTCCTAGTTAAAAAAGGGACAATTGAATCCTTGCCAAAATATTTCAACTGGTTCGTATTCTTATATCTTTTTTGTTTTTAATTTTAAACCGTACATAACTATTCCATATAAAAATATTTATAATATGTAATACTGTAACGTAAAGAAAAAAAACCATATAAATATTTTTTAAAAATTTCCATAAAAAAAATTGACAAATTATAAAAAAATTTATAAAAACTATTCATTGCTTATAAACTGTAATATAATATTAAATCCTAAAATTATTATAATTATTCATTAGTTTTTAATCAATAAATTTAGTATTTTTAGTGATAAATAATAATATTTTTATTTATATTAAATATTTCTGTTAAATATTTTTAATAAATACTTGTATTAAATATTTATAATAAACATTTTTATATTAAATATTGATAATAAATATTTGTATTAAACATTTATAATAAATATTTATAATAAATATTTGTATTAAATATTTACAGTAAATATTTATTTGAAATATTAATATTATGTATATATTTGTATTAAATATTTATATTAAAATATTTGTATTGAATATTTATCAAAAAGTAATTTTAATTTTGAAAAATAACGATTGAAAATTCATTTCACTCAAAATTTATAATAATTACTATCTAGTCAATTGAAAGTGAAACTGAATAGTACGTATTACATCAAGTTTCACTCACTAGTTAATTTAACTTTCTTCTTTAGCCTAGATTTAAAAGTGCTCTTATTTTTTCAAATTTAAGTGTATTTTAAGAAAATTATACAAATTTTCGAAAAATAATTACAAAGTAGAAGCATTTGGAAAAAAAATAAAAAAAAAAAAAAATTTGGTACACTTTCACTGATGAATTCAAAGAAAAAGAAGAAGAAATGACGCTTGCATCAGTAAATATATGTTGACCGTGACTTTATAAGACTTTACAGTTATCGCGAAATATCAGCTGAAGGCGTTTTCAACGTCATACGTCACAGTTGGTCTTTGTACTCCTTTCGAAAATATTCCATACCTATTTATTGCATCTTTATTTAAAGATTATTAAAATTTGTTTCCTTAATTAAAAAAAAAATCAAGTCATTTTTCACTTATGAAATTGTATTTTTTTGAAATTAAATTTGTTTTTATTCTTTCATAACAAATTATTTCTAGCAAAAAAAAATTAAAAAATTACGAAAACAAATATATCAGTAATTTCGATCGGTATTTGATAATGAAATACGTCAAAGATGATAGTACTATTAACCCCCTGGTTTTTTTTTTGCTGAATCGAATATGATTAAGAGCATTTGAACCTTCGTGACGTCACAAATCATGGCGCATGACACGCAAACTTCTCAGGTATGTGAAAAGCACAATTTTGAATATTTTTTAAAAAAACCTTTTGGAAAATGTTCAGAATAACATAGACTCTGTCTGTTATGTGCGGAAAATTCAAAATTTTGCGTTTAAAACGTTTTTTAAACAATGTTAAAGTCACAAATCATGGCGCATGACACGCAAACTTCTCAGGTATGTGAAAAACACAATTTTGAATATTTTTTAAAAAAACATTTTGGGAAATATTCAGAATAACACAGACTCTGTCTGTTATGTGCGAAAAATTCAAAATTTTGCGTTTAAAACGTTTTTTAAACAATGCCTACATATAAGCAATTCGTGTATTTTTCCTTACTTGTGACAACCAGCTTAAACATTGGTTAAAAAACGTTTTATACGCAAAATTTTGAATTTTTCGCACATAACAGACATAGTCAATGTTTCTCTGAACATTTTCCAAAAGGTTTTTTTAAAAAATATTCAAAATTGTGTTTTTCACATACCTGAGAAGTTTGCGTGTCATGCGCCATGATGTGTGACGTCACGAAGGTTCAAATGCTCTTAAAACAATAAAAATTCCAATTAAAAAAATAAAATAAAAAAAAATAATAAAATAGAATAAATAGATATAAAATAAAAAATATAAATAAAATAATTATAAAAATAAATAAAAAATTTTTGTATACAGCTGGTTAGCAAGAACCAATCCAGCTGATGTTGCGCGAGTCGAGAGTCGTACCTTCATTTGTACAAATTCAAAAAATGAGACCATTCCCACGCCAAGGAATGGAATCAAGGGAACACTGGGAAATTGGATCTCACCAAACGAAATGGATGATGCTGTAATGGATCGCTTTCCAGGATGTATGAAAGGTAAATAAACAAAATTGAAATGATATTAAATATAAAGATCAAATTTCATAATTGTGAGCAAATTCCTTTATAAATATAACCAATTTTTCTTTTGAATTATATCAGCAAAATGTTTCGAAATTAATATTATTGATGATTACATTTCTTTTTTTTGTAATAAGATGTATTCTATACGAACGCGCTGATATTGTTACAGGAAAAATATAAATGACCGAAGAATAAAGATAATTATATATATCCTTACCCGCTTAGTAAACAAAATCATTGCAAATTCAATATAATGATAATGAATCTTATGCTTGTATATGAATATCCCCTCATATTTTTTTCGTTTCAATTTTTTCCTAATGTCAATAACCGTGGAGAGTTCTTTATTTTTCAATTATAAAAATGCCTTATATTAATAATAATAATAAAAATAATTATAATAATTCGAATTTGGAACCTTCAAACTTTGGAGTATTAAAATTTGGAAATATTCAAATTTGAAATTTTCAAACTTTGGAATATTCAAATTTAGAACCTTCAAATTTTGGAATATTCTAAATTATGAATATTTAAATTCAAAATCTTCAAATTTTGAATATTCAAATTTGGAATTTTCAAATTAGGAATACCTATTCAAATTTGCAATTTTCAAATTAGGAATATTCAAGTTTGGAATATTCAAATTTGGAATTTTCAAATTAGGAATACCTATTCAAATTTGCAATTTTCAAATTAGGAATATTCAAGTTTGGAATATTCAAACTTGGAATATTCAAATTTGGAGTTTTCAAACTTTGGAATATTCGAAATTGGAATTTTAAAAATTCGGAATATTTAAATTATAGTAATAATCATTATTATTATCATTATTATCATTATTTTTCTTATTATTTTTATTTAATAATTATTTTACTAAATAGTTACTTTTATTATTATTATTATTATAACAATAATAATAATAATTAAGTTTAATCAATTTTTAAAAAATTGTGTTTTTTCAAATAAATAATGAATTGAGTTATAATATTTAATTTTGTTTTCTTTCTTTTGAATCAAGGACGCACGATGTACGTGATACCATTTAGCATGGGACCAGTTGGTTCGCCGCTATCGAAAATTGGCATCGAAATAACCGACTCGGCCTACGTTGTATGCTCCATGAGAATAATGACACGGATGGGTTCCCAAGTTTTAGACTTTCTTGGCAAGGGGGATTTTGTAAAGTGTCTTCATTCAGTTGGAATGCCAAAATTAGAATCCAAGGTCAAGGTGAATCTCTCGTGGCCCTGCGATCCTGAGAGGACAATTATTCTTCATAAACCGGCGAAAAATGAAATTGTCTCCTATGGAAGTGGATACGGTGGTAATTCATTATTGGGGAAAAAATGTTTTGCACTTAGAATTGGTTCCACTATTGCCAGGGATGAGGGTTGGCTTGCTGAACATATGCTGGTAAATTGATGCAAATTTGAAAAAAAATTTTTTATTTATTAATTTAAAAAATTATAAAAATAAATTATAAATTTATAAAATCATAAAAATAAATAATAAATTTAATAAATTATAAATTTGAGAATTATTTTTCAAAATTTTTAAACTTTTTTTAAATTGTTTTAGATTCTTGGAATAACAAATCCAAAGGGCAAAAAACGATATATTGCCGCTGCATTTCCAAGTGCATGTGGTAAGACAAATTTAGCAATGATGCAACCAACACTACCTGGTTATAAAATCGAGTGCGTTGGTGATGATATTGCCTGGATGAGATTTGACAAAAAAGGAGTACTTCGGGCAATTAATCCTGAAAATGGATTTTTTGGAGTTGCACCAGGTACAAGTATGGCTACCAATCCAAATGCAATGAAGACAATTTTTCAAAATACAATATTTACGAATGTTGCCAAGACAAGTGAAGGTGGAGTTTTTTGGGAGGGAATGGAAAAAGAAATATCAAATGATGTAGAGGTATTTAGAAAATTTTTTTACATTACAATAATAGAGAAAATAGAAAAATTTATTTCTAGACTGAAAAAAAATTATTTGATTTAAATAATTGTATTTTCTTAAAACCATATAATTTTTATTATATTCAATAATAATTAAATTAACTAATTATTATGAATTAAATAAATTGTATTCAAATTAATAATTTCTGTATTTGAATCAAATACAATTTATTTGATAATAATAATTAAATAATTATTATTCGAATAACTATTATTTGAATAATAATTATTTAATTATTATTATCAAATAAATAACTTTTTGTATTTAAATAATTAGTATTTAATTATTATTATCAATTAAATAATAATTATTTAATACAAATAAATTTTTATTTGATAATTGTTAAGTAACTGATTATTTAAATTAAATAAATTCTTTATCTTATGAAAATAAAAAAGAAAATAAAATTGAAAATTTTTAAAATTGATTCCAGATTACAGATTGGCACAACAATGAATGGAATTTCGATGTCAATTCACCGGCAGCACATCCAAATTCAAGATTTTGCTCGCCAGCTAATCAGTGTCCAATAATCGATCCCAATTGGGAGGATCCAGAAGGTGTTCCTATTGATGCTATTCTTTTCGGAGGACGTAGACCAGAAGGTGTTCCACTCGTTTACGAAGCACGTAATTGGGAACATGGCGTTTTTATTGGAGCTACAATGAGATCAGAAGCTACCGCAGCTGCTGAATTCAAGGTAATTAATTAATTCAATTCAAAAAAATTAATTATTTAATTAATTCATTAATAATATTAATTATATTATAAATTATTAAATATAATTATATAATTGGTACTGAGCATCTCGAACCCTGCGGATGCAGGGAGAGTAAATAAATGTATTATATACCTAATTAATTATAATTATATAATTATATTATTATAATTTAATTAATATTTAATTAATTATTGAATCATAATGATGATAATTATTTAATCATACCTCAAATTAATTCAAAGAAGAATCAGCAAATAATATTTTGTCTTTTCTTTCACAATATTATTTTAGGGCAAAGTTATAATGAACGATCCATTTGCAATGAGGCCATTTTTTGGCTATAATTTTGGTCACTATCTCAAGCATTGGCTGAGTATGGAAAATGTGGAGAATGCAAAATTACCAAAAATCTTTCACGTCAATTGGTTTAGAAAAGATGCAAATGGAAAATTCCTTTGGCCTGGTTTTGGTGAAAATTCACGTGTACTTGATTGGATTTTAAGAAGGGTTGAGGGAGAAGATATTGCGAGAGATTCAATGATTGGTCTAATTCCAAAATTAAATTCAATTAATTTAGATGGTATTAAAGAGAATGTCGATATGGATGAATTATTTAGGTTACCAAAAGATTTTTGGCAAAAGGAGGCTGTTAATTTGAAAGAATATCTTGATTCACAAGTTGGTGATGATCTTCCAAAACAAATTATAACACAATTGGATACGCTCAAAAAAAATGTTGATAAACTTTAAAATTCTATATAAATTTCTCCTTTATTTGTATAATTTCAAAAAAAAAGTGTATCAGTTTTCTTTGAGAGCTTTAAAATAAAATAAAATAAAAAAAAAATTACTTTCAAAATTAAGGAAACTTGATTCACTTTTTTTTAAAAAAATAGATATTTAATTGTTATTGAAAAAAAAAATTGTGATGTATATAAAATACATATACACGATGTTTGTATGACGTCCTGCAAATGTGTACATAGTATTATATAAAATATAATGTATTTTTGTAAATTGTACATTCCAGCTAAATTAAAATGCATTCCATGTTCGTGTCACACATCAGATGTGTGGCGATTTCTCATTTTTACTTTGGAAGTAATGTGTAAAAAGAAGAAGAAAAAAAAAGTATACACACATTAAGTAATTACGTTCACTAATAGTCATTGTCACGCTTCTATAGAAAAAAAAAAAAAAAAAAAAAATGACAAATAAAAATATGATATAAATTTTATCAAACTGATTTCATAAGATTTGTTTCTTTTGTTTTCTATAAACAAATATGACACTCAAAAGTTTCGTCACCACTTTTTTTTTATTTCTTATTAAAATTATATTAAAAATTTTCTATTAATAAATAAATAATTTAATTTCATTATTTCAATTATTTTATTTATTATTATTATTATTATTATTATTATAATTATTGTTAAGATGGTAAATCTAAATTCAAAAACAAAATTACTATCATCATTATTATTATTATTATTATTATTTATTTATTTATTTATTTATTTATTTACACAGCAATAATATTAATAATAATAAAAGTAATAACAAATTATTATTATTATTACTATATATATGGTAAATAAATTAAATTATAATAACTGTTTTATCTTTTATTTATTTAATAATAAATAAATTCAAAATTGTTATTATCTATTATTTAATTTAATTTTTTTATAACTTATTTATATGTATATTAAATAAAAAAAAAAATTATGTAGGTACTCTCAATGGAGAGATCTGTCTGTCCATGAACGACTCAATCTACTTGTAAGTATAAAATTAGAAATTGTCGATAACATATCTATCGGTAACGTAGAATTTTCATTCAAAAAAAAATCTATTTCTCGTAATTAAAATTTTCTTACTACTATATTAATAATTCATTAATTTGAAAAACATTTTTTCTTTATAAATATTTTTTCTATTATTTATAAATAATATTTTTCCTTTTTACCTAAAACGGGCATATTACCTGGCGATTTATTTCAAAACATTTTTCAACGCATTTCACCTAGATGGCATGCCATTCTTTATCTATAGCAGAAATATTTAATATTTATTTCAAAAAAATAGATTTTTTCTATGTCCTAATGTTAAATTAATTTTTAAATAATATCTAATTTATAACTTATTAATTTAATTATGTTTTAATTTATTATAGTAAAATTTTCATTATTATTATTTAATAATTTTTAATAATTTTTAGCTACCTGTATTTAGCACTTATGTACGAAAGAGTTTTCTTAATAAACCTGTATGAGTTTTGAAATAAATATAAAAAAATAAAATTCTAGTAAATGGGAAATTTTTGGGACTAGAATAAATTTACAAAAATTTTATTATTAAAATTATTAAATAATACAAACAATAACTTTAATTATTGAACTTATTATTATGGTTATTATTGTTATTTTTATTACTTTTATTATTTTTATTATTAATATTATTCATATTATTATTTCCACTTATTTTTGCAAAAATTTTCAAAATCGGTAATAATCGTTTAAATGCAATTAAACATTTTATAAAAATAAATTTAAAAAATTCCAAATTTCTCCATTTACTTTGAAGATATAGGTATTAGATATATTTTTTGATACAAATTAGTTTAAATTAAATGATGATACCAAAATCGATAAGCCTAGAATTTATATTTGAATGAATAAATAAAATAAGTGAACACGTGTTTTGTTTCACGTGTGTCTTTAACCTTTTTTTGCATGCATTTATATCGAATGAAGAAGAAGAAGAATAAATAAGAGAAAAAAAGAAGAAGTATAAGAAGAAGAAGAAGTCTTTACAATATTGCATCGGGAAGTGTTTTAACATTCAAAGGAGTTGCTTCAGCGCAAAGTTTTATGCCAGCCAAAGCCAACAGTATGGACTTCCATGTGATCGGTATTTACGATTCAAGAGAAATTCTCCTTTGCCACAGCGGACAAGGATTGTCCCTCCATTTGTACAACTCTGTATGTCAATCCGTTATAATTTCTCCGCTAATAGAATCCAAGATTTCGCAGTGAATCGTGCAAAGACTTTCAATTCCCGCTCTTCTCGTCTCACCTTATCCGCAACTTTTACATTTTGCATCAGTCAAACATATTTCTATACGCATATACATGAAAATTAATCTTCATATATATTTCAATCAGTTTTGTCATTTTTTTTTTTCTACAAAAATCAAACTTATTTGGGTCGCATGAATAAGTTTACAAAAATCAATTGCTAGCATTTTCATTTCATGGAATTTCATTTAGCCCAATTTTATTTGTTCGAATTATTTTTTTTGCACAATTTTCATTCAATCGAATTTTATGTGATTCAAATTTTTTAATAACAAAAATTCAAATATACCGAATTTTAATTTGACCATGAAACTGAAGTCCGCAACGTTTTAATAAACGAAAACGAAAAAATAATTAGATAATATGTATTACTTTGGCATAAAATTAAAGTTATTCAGAGGTAATTGGCTTCTATAAAAAGATTAATTTCTTAAAAGTTTGTGCAAATCAAAATTAATAATAAAATAATTTGAAAAAATCATTCTATTTTAATTTTTCGTTTTTAAAAACGTTGCGAACTTCAGGTTCATATTTGACCAAAATTTTATTTGTACGAATTTTTAAAATGCCGAATTTTTATTTTTTCGAATTTAAAATTGGCTGAACAAAAAATTGACGGAATTTTAATTTACCAAAATTCTCATTCAAACGAATTTTATCTTATTCGAATTTTTAAGACGCCGAATTTTTATTTGTCCGAAATTACAATTGGCCGAACAAAAACTTGATAGAATTTAAATTTAACAGAATTCTCATTCAATCGAATTTATATCTGATTCGAATTTTAAAAATGACCGAAATTTCAGTTCACTGAATTTTTTTCCCATGAATTTTTACTTAACACAATTTTTTGCTACCGAATTTTTGTTTGGAAGATTTTTTATTTTATAGTAATTTAATTTACATGACTTTTTATTTATTTATTTCCACATAAATTTAAAAAATTTTAATTATCATTCAATCGAATTTTATCTGATTCGAATTTTTAAGTGACCGAAATTCCAATTCACCGGATTTTAATTTGTCCAAATTTTCATTTGTCCGTAATTACAATTGGCCGAACAAAAAAATTGACAGAAAGATTTCAGCGCAATTTTTAAAATTGACCAATCACGATTTTCTTAATAATTTCTAATTAGTCAATTTTAAAAATTTCGCTGAAATCTTTCTGTCGATTTTTTGTTAGGACATTTGCAATTTCGTACGAATAAAACTTCGGCGTCTTAAAAATTCTATCAATTAAAAATTCGTAATACAAATTAAAATTCGGTGAATTGGAATTTCTGTTAAAATAAAATTTGCTTAAATTAAAATTCTTTTAATTAAAAAGTCATTTAAAGAAAATGTTACAGTAAAATAAAAGTCCTGCCAAACAAAAATTCGGTAGCTAAAAATTTTGTTATGTAAAAATTCGTATAAAATGAAAATTTTTTAAATTTTAATTCAAACATTAAAAATTCAAAAATGATTATTTCTAATAATAAATAAAAATTCTAATTGTTTTATGGAAAACGCATGCTATGTGAATTTTCGATTAAATAAAAATTCTGTCAAAATAATAATTCAAATGAATAAAATTCGGTTCAATGAAATAAATTATACATCTAATGAAATTCTATTAAATGAAAATTCGAAAATTTGATTTTCAGAACTTATTCTACGGCCCATTTATTTATATATATATATATATATATATATATATTTTTGCCTCCTTGCGGAAAAATTCATTTAGTTCAAGTTTTAATGAACTTTTATTCATGAATGTGAAATTTAAATTAATTTCTCAAGAAATAAAAAAAAATTCTCTTCTCTACGGTTTCATTTCGCATTTATTGTAAGAAGAGAGCATTGGCATGTTGGAAATTGAGTTCATTTTGCGTCTTCAATTACGCCGAATCGACTCGAAATCATTTCTGGCGAGGTCGCGCGCTTTTCAAGCAATCCGCGTACATCTTTTATGGTGCAAGAGAAGCGATTTGCGAATGTGTAATCATTCTTTTTCACAGATTATGCAGTCAATTAGTTTCTTAAATTTATATATATACACATATATATTGCAAAAACGACAGATAATTTTCTTTTTTCATATAAATCACAAAATTCAATATACTCAAAATTTCTTTTCATCAAGCTTTTAATAATTTTTTTAAAAATATTTTTTACATATATATTTTTATATTTTCTGTACTATTGTTATCCCAGTTTCCGTCCATATCTCATGTAATAATTTAAATTATTTTTCAACAATATTTTATTCTTTTTTGCATGCAATGGACTTATTAGTTGAAGTAAACAAATAAAAGAAAATTATTTTTTTTATAAATGTTATCTTCAAAATTAAAGTGGACGGAAACTGGGGGACAACCACGGTATATTTTTGTATATTTTTGTATATAAAATATTTTATTAACTATAAGCAAAATAATAAATATTATCTCAAAGATTATAATGATCATCATCATCCTGTTTCTATATGATTTGAAATCCAAATTTGGAATGCGTGATTTTTTATGCGAATTTTTATTTTGTCAATTATGGCGCGTCAATATTCTTGATATGGAAAGTTAAAACCTTCATTATATTGTGCTTGGGATGTGTATTGGTTATTATCAGCGAATCCGTTCTCCTTATTGGTGCGAATCAATAAGTCACGTCCATATTAGCCAACTTTAACTTTGTCTGTGTTCATCTTCAAAAGGTTCCCATATTTGGGACTCTGCCACCCACGGGCGATGCCAGTCGCATTCAAAACAATATATACTTTGAGATCTTGAATTCAGGAGAGAATCCTCACCATTTCGCCAAATATATCGCTTCTCGGTATTTTTTTTCTTTCTTTTCTTTTTATTATCAATCTTCACATTCTTGAATAATTTTTTTACTGTTACATATAGTACCCATCATTTTTCTTCTTTAAAAAAGAAATTATTTTCATATGCGGAAAAATTGATAAATTAAATTTCAAAGTGGAAAAATTTTTTTGTATATTTAAAGTTTTTTAAAAATATTTTTCTTCTACACCCAGAGAAATATTTACACTCGAAAAAAAATTTATTTGAAATAACCAAATTTTAGTTAAATCAACCAAATAAATGCATTGCTATACACTGAAGAAAAAATTTATTTGATATCTGCTTACATCGAATATTTGTCCTGGTCTTTTGAA